GCTTTGCAAACACAAAGAAAAAAACCAGACATACCTGTTGCTTAAACACACACATGCCCACGGGTTTCAGGCAGCAGGGTCTACCAGAGCAAGTGCACAGGGTTGGGACATCTGGGGTTATGGTCTCCAGCACCTCTGATTAGCCGATCACCAAAGGACTTGGACAGAAACAGGATTTGCCTCAAGCCACCTCTCTGCAGTACGTGGGTAACGCCGATTCCCCCATGCGCTAGAAAAGACACCGATGGCTCACCTGAGTACTTCTGAGCAAAAACCAGAGCTTAGTTGTGCAGCCAATGCAGGAACTGGAGGACAGACCTCAAAACAAAACTCCAGACCTGGGCTGCTGCCAGCTGGATCATTTCCCCACACAGAGCACAATTTCAGAGGCCAAGTCAAGCCAGTCCTGAGCTGGAGCCCAGCAGCAGAGTCTGGGGCAGCTTCTCCTTCCAAGGCACAGAGCATGGGCCAGCCCAATCCCACCAGCGCTGGAGAAACATGTTGAACCAGGTCTACCAAAACCAGTTATCTTCATTGAGAGAGCAAAGACCCTTGCTCCCACGTGAAGCCACCCTAGGAAAAGATCAGCACCCTTGGGTGAAGGCCTTCAGGCCCACTGGTCCCATCAGAAGTTGCAAGCAAACATCACAAACCTTGCACAGTCCTGCAATGTCCATGTTCCCCATCTCCCCCATCCTGCCGTAGCTGCAGGGTTAAGGTGGGCTCGAAGCTGGACCAAAAACCCAACCTGTCACCAATGCCAAGAGCAGCAGGCAGAGGAAGAGCCCAGGGCCGGCTGGGGTCTGGCAGGGGCGAGGGTGGAGGACGCTTCAGCCTCCAGGATGCAGGGAGATAAATGGCCAACGTCATCACCATTATCAACGGCGCCCAACCTTCGTGTTGAACGGCGAGGCGGAAGAACTTCGCCTGGCCCTGGAAGGAAGGGGGAGAGATAGGGAGGGCGGCACTGCTGTGATGGGGCGAGATGGGAGGATGAGACCTACGGAGTGTGTGCTGGGGCAGAGGAGCAATGCCAGGGGTCTGTTGGCCCCCTCCTTGAAGACCCCTTGCCCTGGGAGATTTACCTCCAACATGTCCATCCCTGCTTCAGTCCCCAGGGCGGTGCCAAGCAAGGGGCTTGTACCTGAGTTAACAAGTGGAAAGGGGAGACTGAGGACACGTCCATGGCCTCCTGGAGGACTCTGGGATCTGTCAGAAGCAGCATGCTTTTTGAAGTGATTTATTTCTCACTGGGGTTAAGGGGGATGAGGCCCATTAGTCAGGAGGGACAGAAGCATGCTTCCTGTCACCTCAGCCTCTCCCTCTGGCAAAGCCAGGAGCATTAGGCCCAATTAGCCCCTGGCAAACAACCCAGGGGTGGGTCCCTCCGCAGCATCCCCAGACAGGCCCAGGAAAGCAGCACTTCCTAAGAAATCAGCACTAATGAGTCACTATGGCTAAATGGCATTATTTAAAGCAGCAGCGAAGCTTTCCAGGCTCCCACCATGCCTTCTTCAAACTGGAGATCAGAAAGCTAGCGGTGGCCTCTGTCCCCCAAGCACAGCACTAAGCCGGTCCTGCAGTTACCAGCCCCATCTGTCCCCAGGGAAGCTGGTCAGATACCTCAGCATGGGGGCAGGATCCAACCCAGGCAGCTTTCCAGAGCCTTCTTGGAGGTTTTCTAGCACCTTTTCAGAAGATTTCTAGAGGTTTCCTGGCCATTCCCCAGAAGTTTTTCTAATTTTTCTAGAGGTTTTCTGCTGTATCTCCAGAACACTTCCAGAATCTTCCTAGAGGTTTACTTGAACTCTCCGTGGGATGTTTCAGCCTCTTTGCATTTTTTTTCTACAAAGTCACATGTTGGCCATTTCCAAATTTCCCAAGTGGCACCTTGGCAATTGAGCAAAGCTCAGCACCTCGGCAATTGAGCAAAGCTCAGCACCTCAGCCAAGCACTGTGCAACACCTCTGGTGGTCACGCAGCAGCACCCTCAGCAGCCTGATTAGTAAACTGAAGAAATATGTACAGATTAGAAAAAAAATAGGCATGTATGGGGTCATTCTATAGTCAGGACACATTGTTTTATACCACAAATTTTCAAAAATGCCCCATAGGAGGATCTCTTCTCCTTGTGCTGTCTGGAGTCTTTTAAGCAGCACCCCCCAAGTGAAACCAGCCCGAGCTAGATGCATGTCTCACCAAAGCACAGGACGATCATTCTTCCAAGCTGTGGTGTAGGGTGGAAAAGATTTATCCTTTCTAAACTCATGGGGCCTGATCACACGTACCTGAGGGGCTGCCCACTGTGTGGGAAGCTGGGAAGGACCCAGGCACTCCACAGCAGAGCAGACTCCAAATGCAGAGCTCTGCTGGGGAAGTCCCCAAAGGGAAACCTCATCTACCGATATCAAATGAATGAGCAACCAACGAGCCGTTCATTGCGTGCACAGCCTTCTCTCCAGAGGGAGGTGTAAACAGGCTGAAATCCCTGGAAGCCACTTCCAGCGCATGGTCCAGCCAAGAGAGGAGCCACTTCTCTATCATCAGCCCTCCACTGAAAGGTCGATTTGCACTTGCTAGAAAACACTCCTCCTAGTTACTTTGCCTGGAGGAGCAGCATGCCTTCCCTCCGGCACCAGCCCCCCAAGTTGCCCCTTCCTGCTCAGCTCACAGCAACTCGGATTTGCGGTGTGGCCGTCACCTCTCCTCCTTCACACTGCTAATCCAGTCGCCTCACCTTTTAACCAGCAGCCACCTCTGTTGATGATCCTCCAGCTCCTCTCCCCGCTCCCCTCGACTCCTGTCCAGGACATTCTCCCAAGCAGGAAAACACGGAGCAGCTGTGGGGGAAAGCCAAGGCAGGAGATGCTTTTCTGCATGCGTTCTCAATCCTAAACCATGCAGTTCCCATGTGCATTTACACTGTAGGGCAAAAACAGAGAGAGCAGCAGAGCTGGGGAAGCAAGGACAGGCCAATTCCCAGATGTCCCTCCTGGTGTCCTCAGCCTAGTCCAGTGTGGACTTTTTCTTCCACAGCCACCAAAGGCTCCTCTAAAAATCTGACTGCCCGAGCGTAACCTTACCGTGTGGCTCCAGAGTAGCAGCTCAGAAATCAGTTTGGGGCTGAGGTTTTTACATTTGCTTCTGCCAAGGGAGCTTGGGGAACATCACTCCCAGAGGCAGGAGTAGCCTTACAGGCACAAGAAAATCATTTAGCCCAAGAATCAAGTCTCCTGGATGGTGCCCCAGGCAGTACACGGCTCAGTGGGAACTGCTCTGTGCGTACAGATTTACACAGCCACACTGAGAACCAAATCTGTAGCAAGTGCCAGGAATATACTGGCTACCATGAAACGTCTGTTACAGTATGAAAGACTCAGCAAAAAGTCCTGTAAATAGAAGCAGACTGTTCACAGCTTGGCCAAGGTATTAATACAGGTAGGACTTTAAGTCCTTCTGAGTCAGCTGTTCCCAGCATTTCTACTCAGACTCTAGAAATTTCCCAGCAACATCTGGCTATCTGGCAGGTTGCTGAATGACCTGAAAGTTTTTTTTCTCGTCACAATGCCCTCCCCTCTACACAGTATTTTGTAAGATGACACAAGGCATTAGTAACAAACTACGTGAAAAACACCACATGCCACACTGGTTGGCATCAGCAGAACATGCTGGAGTAAGGGATACAGGTACCCATTCAAAGCGAAGGGATCACAGCACCAGAAAGACTCACACAATGTGTATTTGTCCAGCTTCTGTTTCTTGCACTGCATTATCAGGTCTCACTTTGAATGACCATGGGATTGGAGCAGGGATTTCCTCTCTGTTTCCAGTTTTACTGACAGTAATGTTGTTTGCAGCCATTTCAGGTTCATTCTTGGCTCCGCTCCATGGGAGAACAGATCTGGGTCACACTGAGAACTGTGAGCTCTGACCAGCACCCTTACTGAGACAACATTCCAACTTCAGGGACTTCTGACTGAAGCCTAGGACTCAAAATTGGCTTTCAGTCCCCTACCTCTGCTCTGTGCTGCTTAAGCTTTGCAGAGAACAAAGGCAGACTATTCTTTTGCTATACTAACATTCACCAAAATAAACCATCTGCTGGAAAAGCTCCCAGGCACTACATGCAAGATTTGTCTTCCATTATTACTGATGCACATGAGCTTGTGGTATGTTCACATGGAACAAACTATTCCCAACATACATGCAATAAAAACCTCGTTTCATTTAAGTGTTTTTTCAAATGATGGACCTTCGCCCAGCATTTGGCTTACAGCTGACCAGGACTGCAGTCTCTGCCTCGCTGGCAACAGACCCTTTGAAGCTTTACAGCCCAACAGGTGAAAGGCTGGCTGGACAGCGAACAGTCGAACAGCATTCCTTCTTTCTGACTGCTGATCATTCCATAGTCCTGACAGTAAATCCCCCTCTTGGCTAATAATGCACATTAGTATAACAACTTGCATGTCTGGATTCACACCATCTAGGCCTGTAATATATTTCTAGCTGCCTGCTCACATCAGCTATTATGCTTATATTTGGTGAAAGCAGTGAAAGCCCACAGGAAAAAAAAGGGATTCTGTGAAACAAAGAGAAACATGCCCCATTTCCCCATTGCTAACACCCAGAGCCCTTCTGTCAACCCCTCACTATCACACAAATACCAGAATGAGGAAGGGAGAAGATCAGTGCAAAGTCAGTATCACAGAGGTAATTTAGAAGCAAACCTCATCTGGACAGCTGCTGGCAAGTAGAGACCTGCCCTCTCTGTAGCACCAGAGCTGCGGCTGGGCCAGACTGGTGACCTTGCTCAGCTTAAACAAACGCTAGAGAAAGCAGAGATGTGCACAGATCCCAACAACTCTACAGAGGGGCAGCATCAGTCAACCTTTGCCGGAGGAAGATGCACAACTTGGCTCTAGTTTTTAACATTTGGGGTAAGTGGAAAAGAAGGGTGTTAGGCTTCCTTTTTTTTTTTTTTTTAAACAGCAAGTTCTCTGTCAAGAGTTTTTAATATATTTATTTGAAAACAAGGTTTTGTGAAAGAGTACACTAAATAGCATATATCTGTTCTTCAGCCATAAAACACGGACTATCAGCTTTAGCTCAGCACAGATTGGGGTTGCATGCACTGAACAGCAGATCTCAATAGGAAGGTCTTCATATCTGTCTTTCTGATATCAAGCATAGTGTCTTCTTTAGAGGACATGATCCTGGAAGAAAGAGAAACCAGAAAAACAAATGTATTTAACTAAGGCTTCTTGTGGTTGGCCCCACACAATCACCCGAGTCTGCCACTGATGCAACATTTACAGTTTTTGGGAAGGAGTTTGTTTTCCTGCCCCTCCACCAACTCAAGTGCATAATCTTTGCTCTTGGGAGCACTGGGACATGCCAGCTCATATTTGGAAATAAAGCAACTGGGTTTCTGTCTCTCAGCGAGAAACCTGCACATCAGTTCAGGCGCTTTAAGCAAGGAACCTGAGAACTGCACCATTCATTGCCTGGAACAGATCTACAAGGATCATTAAGTCGGGCTCAGAGAGCAACACAAAGCCCGTTACTGGGACGTCTCTAAATTCTGCTAAGAGCTGCTGGGAAGACAAGACAAGACAAGCCCAGAAAGCTGAGTAGTAGTTCTCTTTTGACCAGTCCTGCCACACTGAGGTCAAGTAGATGACAGCTTTGTACATAAACCACTTGCCCCTCTGGGACCATCTTTCATGAGCTGATTATTCCTGACTCAGCTGTTGCCTGTGACCCCATGCACAGCTCTAACTCTGCCCAGGAAGGCTCTACTCCAGAGTAGCCAAGCCTGTGACATTAGAAACCAGATCTAGTATGACTGGGTCAGGCCTGATCCGGAAGAGTGGAATTATCTTTTACTGCTGCCAAGCTCTTCAAATCGGGACAGAGCATGTTTCTGAATCTGGTGCAGAAATCTTCAAAGAGCTAAAACAAGGGTGCTGGTAACTGCTTCAGTTGATCCAAAGAGGCTTTTCCTTCATTGGGATTAATAAAAATGACTCTGCACACTACACTGTACCTTAGGTCTTAATCATCAATGTACTCGAAGGGCTCTGGTGGTTCAGGTTCCTGCTCCTCTTCCTCGATCTTCGGACCATGAGCTGCTACAGGTTCAACCAGCTCCTCCATATCCTCACTGGTGTCCTTCAGAATGATGATGCCTCCAATGGAAAGCTGCAAGACAAGTGCAGTGAGCATTAAAGCTGCTTGCCTCTGCCTCATGGTGGAGCATTTGTGGCCACAGTGTTTACCCTAGGCCATACAAGACACCTCAGCAGAGCAAAGCAGCTGACACTCATCCAGATCCCTGCCTGATAAAGGGATGGAACAGAGAGCCGATCCAGGCTACCTTTTGTGTTGCTGCTATCTAAGTCTCAGTTCAAGAGAAAATGGCATCTGGATTCACAGCTTTACCCCAGTTCCAGTCTGGGGCTTTCCACATGAAAACTGATTGAACCATAATTGCTTTATAAGGGGCAACAAAGCTTAGTGAAGTCTCTCTGTGTAGCAGCCTCCCAGGAGGCTATCTGAAACAGAGACTAATCTGATGACCAGCTTCCACTCGACTGCGGAATTGTATTAGCAGAACCTTGTAAAAACAAAGGGGAATTAATTACAAAGATCACAACCAAACATCCTGGCAGGCTGAAGCAAATCTGTGCTTCTTCAGGACTGAAACACAAGGTGTGAAGAGGCAGTGCTGTGTCATGCCTGGCTGGGGTCAGGGCTTTGACCACAGCAGGATTCCAGGCTATAAACAGCATTTCAAAGAGACCTTTTACTCTGGCATTCCCCAAAGCACAGCAAAGGTCCAGAACAGCTCCATTTCGAGAGCCTCCTTGGTTACACACCCTAATCCCAGCAAAAACCTGCACTGTTCTGTTCTCTTCAAAACCTGTTTATGGGGCTTTACGGCAGGAAATTGCACTCCCCTCACCAAGGACTCGGCTTCTTTTGAAACTGAAGCAAACAGCTACATATGTCCGCATTTCAGCTGCATGAGCGGACACTTACTGGACCACATAGCAGATCTTCCCAATCCAAATACCAGTTGGGTCACCTCCTCTTTTAGTAGAAACTAAAAAAATCCTTCCACTGCTTTGCTAAAGCAGACATTTCAAAAGGGGACGATGCACAGAGAATTCCAATGTGATGATGGAATTCCAGGAAATCCATTTATTAAAAACATGACTATTTCCCTGGAAAAAAATTTTACTACTTCTGAACACCATTTTCCCATGCATAATCCTGCAAAAGGGGGAAGTCAAGGGTGTTATTTCTTGAACAAAAATAAAGGCCAGAACCATTTGCCTCAGAAGATTTAGAGGTCAGGGGCAAGCTTATTATCTCTGCAATATATTTGAGCATCTCACAGAAAAGTTAGTTATCCCTTGGGCTTAATAAAAGACTTTTTTCATTCTCCATCTGCCAATCACATGCTATCTCTTCTCTGTGTTAACAGGAGATGAAGGCACTTTTCTAAGCTCAGATGTAACTGAATAGGAAATCTGTTTAATGAAAAAAAAACATGTGCATTTAGGTATAAATCCCACTGCAGGCGAATAATGCTTCAGCACAAGTCCTAATGTATTTCACTACTTTGACAATGAGCCTGTACAATTTCTCAGCCCACTGTAAAGATCATAGCTCTGCCTTTATGTCCCCAGCAATGTCATTAATACACAGAGCATGTCTGATTGGTTTCCATGTTGCAGTGTTTGATGTATGTAGAAGAAGAAAAATAAAGCAGCGTTAGCATGGCGAAAAGGTTTGCAGCAGCTCTTGCTTTCCCCCAACTAGAACTGCATGCGATCATTTGGAGAGAGGGACATTAAAAATCAAATATGACAACAGTGAAGTTGCAAATCTTTATAACACATTACAGTGATGCACCAGCTGTCAGTGGCATTCTCAGGTACGCACAGAACGTCTGGGTCCTTACACACAAGCCCAGCACTGGGAATGCTCTGTTAAGTAATCGACTAGGAAGGTGAAGCTTACTGGTTTGAAAGGCTGATATCGGCAGCTCTCTGTCATAGTGAGAACTTTGAGCTGAGCAGGCATGACTCTGGCTGGGTTGTCCAAAAGCTGGAAGTTGGGTTCAGGCTCTTTCTTCTTTTCTTTTTCATCCTTCTTTTCAGTCTCATCCTGCGGAGGAGGAGGAGGAGAACATCAACATGATTTTAAACAATAATCTCTAACCCTTTCACAGTTCAGGAGGGTAAGGTACAACCAGGCAGCAATTCCAGAGTGTGGTGAGAAACCATTCTTCTGCTGAGGAACAAGCTAACACGTATCTGTTAGCTGTGACAGGCAATGCCAGCATGGATCTAAGTGCTCTCATCAAGGCAATGCCTCACTCTTGACTGCAGGTGAAAGTAAGTTCAATGACAAGTGGTAGTGGAACAGATTACACCTGACTTCCCTTTCCAATACTTTTTCTGTAAACTCACTCACCACTTTTTGTTCACAACTGAAGATTCTTTAGTATCATTACCGAGCACATGAAAATTGCGAAAAGCTGCCCTTGCTTTTTTGTAGCTATAAAGCTGTCACTGACATTTCACAGTTCTGGTAGTGACAGCAGCTCAACCAAAATGACTCAACCTCGGTGACTCCCTAGGGAATTGCAGTTAAGCTCTCCTTTACCAATGGTTCCGCAG